AAAAAAAAAAAAAAGATAATGAAATCCGAGGAGAATTCACCCCTGACGAAGACGTCTAATTCCAGGGAGAAGTACTAAGAAGTACTCGAAGGAAGTACTCCGCGGTTAAACCGATTCAACCTTCGGTATTAATACTCTCATTTGAACAAAGAAGACCTCGGCCCGGAGAGCCAACTTTAGGACACGCCACATTGCTTCAGGATTTCTCTTTTCCTTTCCGAACTTGCTTGAATTATGCCGAACGAATTAATCCGGCATTTAACTTTATCCTCGATTATTGACAAATCAAGCACAAAACGTAGTTCACAGATAGGAACCTGACTCGTGAAAAGTGCTACGAGATCATTCATTATCGATTATTTCTTATCGAATGTTACGACTTGGGATTCGATACGATTCCCGACTTCAACTTTACGCCGCGGTAAAATTGAAAACTTGTTTGAATGTGCTGTTCCCACACTCGTTTTCACATTTTTATTGTTATTTTTATAAATTTTCATAATTTATTAAAAAATGAACATAATTATCATTATTAAAGTTTCCAAGTAATTTTAGAGATAAACAATTTTTTATTCATTTTTTATTCAATTTTTTATACTCAAAGTAAAATTATTAATATGTTTAACATTATTAAATAAAAATGATAAACATATTAATAATAATAAACAAAAATATCAACCGACTTTCTTTTCTATTTGTATCATAAAAGATGAATATCACTTATTTAAAGTATTAGATTTTATTTAAAAATGTTAATTCTTTTGAGTAGATTTTATAATTAAAAACGATTTAAAAAAAGAATTAATTTATATTTGTTACAACGCTCTTCTGACAGATTAATGTCCGTAACATCAGCATTTAATGTCAATCTATTTTTAAGCGTAAAATATATTGATTAATGATTTTAATTCCTTATGTATAGCACACTAGACTAATAATAATGAATTTTATTGTCCAAAGCGTTACTGTTATAAAAAATAGAAGGATAACTATATATACATTTGCTCATTTTTCTCGTCCGCGTATAGATCATAGATAACATAAACCATTTTCGACAAATCCGAAATCTTATCAATTTTATCGGATTGATATGCTGATGAAAATTTGGGTTACTGCTGATATATAATGACTAAATTTATCAATAACATATTCTCTCAATATGTCAATACCGAAAGTCGATAGTTCAGAATCTTCGTTTAAATTTCAAAATTTCAACGATGATTATTCTGAATATGAAAATAAAAGTACATCGCAGGATTCGTAAGAAAATTTAATTTTTATTTAGTTTAAAATTTTCAAGTATAAAAAAATTTAAACAATTTTAAACTACATTATACCTGATTTAATATTTGAAAATGTCTTCTTTATTGATAATTACCTTTTCATTCATTTCAGGCTTCCAAAAGAATCTTTATTTTGGGATATATTTAAATATTTTCCAATAAGGAAGGAAAGTACGTCTATGCAAAATAAACAATGGTTAAATATTTCTGTGCATATTATTAAAGTGTTTATGTATGGTATTCTTTTCTGTACTGTCCTCTGCAGTGGTTTAATTTCTAAGTTTATAGTCATTTTTGCTCTGTCACAGCTCAAAGATGAAAAATCTATACAGTTTTGTGATTATCATTCAGGTAATTTATAAATATTATTTGTCTATATTACTTAAAATTATACAAATTTTATATTTTATATGAAGAGATATATATTTCAATAATTTAATGTTGTAGAATATCAACAAGAATTGGGAGCAAGAATTTCCAAAAAAGGCAAAATAATTTGGACATGGTACATTATTTCTATGTTTCTTATACCAGAATGTTTGACAATATTCCAGGCAATATGGGATTTTTTTTTCAATAGAAAGACAAAATTTCCTGCAAAACAAACCATTATAATTCTATTTGTTTTGGAAACACTCCATTCAATTGGTGTTGCATTATTAATTTTCTATAGTCTTCCACAGTTTAATTCTGTGGATGTGGCTGCAATTTCTACTTGCGTTTGTTTTATTCCGAGTTTTTTAAGTAAGTAAATTGATTTGTAAATTAATTATGAAAATATTTATTGAATATATATTTTTATTACAGATTTATTTATCCAACATCACAAATATATAAGAGAAACTAAGATATTTGTAATTGTCTTAGCATGCAATGTTTTAGCATTAATTGCTCAAGGTTCAGGAATAATTTTATATTCTTTTTTAAATTTTGTACGAGATCCTCTAACATGGATTCTTCCTGTATCACTTTTATTATCTTCTTCTCGCTGGTGGTATAATTACATCTCACACTACAGTTATTGTGGTAAAACTTTTATATAATTTAAATGTACAATATTTTCTGGCATCTATTTTTTTAATTTACAACTTTTTCAAAAAAAATATAATTTTTATTAGGTTTCATAAATCTATTAGCAAAAAATAAAACAGATTTATTAAATAACTGCCGTGTATTGCAAGGATATATAGCATTATGGAGATGTTTGATTTTTATTTTAAGCACTATAATGATATTAACTTTTAAAGAAATTCATATACAAGAATTTTTTGAATTTAAATGGCAAAATGAATATAATATAGAATTAATTGATATGTCAAATAACAAAATTATAGATATTGTCACAGATACTTCTTATATATCTTTGTTTAGCTTTCTATTACAAGTATTTTGTGCTTTTCTCATATATCAAGCAGGTGAGATACAAATTTTTATTGTTTTTATATTTTTATTATTTTTATTACTTATATATAATAGTATTTTGTAACTGTAAATATTATACTTCTTTCAGCAAAATTTGCATATCAAACTCAAATGCATAAATTTGGTTTTGCTCTTCCAATAAGTTTAATTACTCCAGGAACAATCTTATTAATAATGATACTTTGTGCATTACGAAAAGAATATTCATGTGTA